CACACCCACCCACCGGTCCAAGCACCCCCACCCCAAGCAGCAGCGCCCACTCCAGCCCTTCCTGAGGCCAGAGCATCCCTCCAGAGTGCCCTGGACCACTGGCAACTGGGCCTCAGAGCTGGAAAATGGGGTCGGGATTTTTGTGTGATTGCTTACTTGGGTGCTGAGGAAAGGCACAGGGTTCATCCACCTCTGCGCCGGGCACCGCCGCTCTCCAAGGCGCTGAGATGTTTTTTCTTTGTCCAAGCAGGGCAGCGAGTCTCCAGGGAGCCCTGCAAGCAGACGCAAGCCCTTACTTCTTACTCTAACGAAGGTCAGTGGCCACCAAGGGACAACGGTTTGCCAGAGCAGGGCTTCGGTGGGCTCCTGCTCCAGCTTTTTTTTTTTTTTTTTGGTAAAAAAATAACCTCAGAACACCCCAAAAAAGCAAAAAAGCCCCACGCTGACCGTTTGGCCATCTTGAGCATGAAGAATTAAATAGCTCAGGAATCCTTGGGTCTTCCAGTGTGGATGCACGGATGTGGGTGCTGGGGCATCCAGGTTCCACCGTCCCCCCAACCACAGGACCCACTGGCCACGGGCTGGGCTGGCCACAGAGAGCAAGGAGAAGGGCGAGGGCTTCTTTAGGAAGAAGTGCTTGATCAGGAATAGTAAAAAAACCCATTAAAATGCCAGTAACTCTTTCATACCATTAGTTTTTAAAGCAATGGGTGCAGAACTCTGAAAAATTTCCATGGAATTACAGTTTTCTCACTTGTAAAATGTTTTTTTAAACTTACTGGAAGAAGGTGGTCCCTCACTGTTAAATTTGTTTCTTGAAAATAAAGAATTTTAATTTACAGGGGGGAAACGGAGAAAGTGGAAGTTGTCAAGAAAATGCACAGAAATACAAAGATAAAAATAATATTGAGATATAAAAAAGGACCCCTGAACATACAAACATCTTAAGGAAATCATTCCGTTTGCACCCTTTGAGAAACAACATTGTTTTACCTTTGAATTAACTGACAAAATACACCCACCACCTCCTGACACCCCGATATCTGCAATCATCCCAGAACTGGAGTCACGCTTTCGGATGTAAAAGGGCTTTTTTTTTGCAGTTTTTACAGTCTTTCTTGCCTTCTGCTTTTGGGCTTTAAAGGACATTGAACTTTTCTGCACAATCACAGGAGATAAAAACTTTTTTTAAAGTTAAATTCTGCAGAAAAATGTATTCTTTGATGAGAGTGCAGATTCTTACCTAATTAGCTGGTTCCAAGAGCTGACTTTCAAGGAAAACTCCAAATGCCATGAGATTCTAGATAAAACTGTAGGAGGTAGCGGGGGCGATGGGATGGCGTCCCCAAGGTGCATTAACATCTTGACCCCCAGTCTCCATGTAACCTCTGTCTCATCCGAAATGGGGACCAACAAGCACGCTGGGGTCCTCCAGGGAACCTCAGCAGCTGCAAAACCTGCTGAAAATGCAGTCTCTTCAAAAAGTTCAGGTAGTTCTTCCACGACACTCCCTAATTTTTTTCCTTGTCTGTCTCTCTATGAAACTTTAACCATCAGATGCCCAGATTTCCAGCCGAGGCTGCTCTGGAGCATCCTGGCACGCAGAGCCCAAGATGTTAATATCACAACTCAAACCATTTTCATAGCTCTGAGCCTTTTTCTGTTGGATCCCAAGAAAAATCAATGAAAGAAATTGATTCTCTGTTTGCCGTATCTCCATCAAGAGCTATTTAATATGGTGATAAACCTTTCTTTCTAAGCCGCCACCCAACCTTCACTGGGGCCCCCTGCTTTATTTACGATCTGCTTTATCACCTGTTAGCCCATAATGCGTTGTCCTTTATTTTTTGAGAATTACAAATCGTGCTGGAGGCGAGCAGAGGCTTTCTGGCTGCGCAGTTAACAGTGAGGGTGCTGTGTTTAGCCAGGAAAGCCAAGGGCTTTGGCACCTTCGCAACACCCAGAACTGCCGCTCCTTTTGCTAGAGATAACAACGGGCTTCGGCGCTGCCTCGGCAGGCGATTCTGCCCTTCTCCCCTGTGTCGTGGGTGGTTTTTCCCTTTCTTGGGGAGTTTGTCATCATTTCTTACAGGAACCCAAGTGACGGTGGAGGTGCATCCCAAGGATACCGCCCCACAGCTCTTCAAGAAGCTCTCCTTTGGGAAAGGTACAGCCCAGCGGGGGGCAGGAGGGCGAGGGGCTGCATCCTGCCCTGTGCAGAGGTGGGGAGCACAGCTCGGGGCAATGCTGCACCCCTCGCACCGGGATGGGGGCTGCGGAGATTCTCTAACCACGCCGGGGTTATTGCAGGTGCCCCGAGGCCACCCAGCCTGAGAGGACAGGACAACAGAGGTGAGGCTCTGCACCCCCCTGCTGTGTCTCTGGGCCAGCCCTTGCCCAGGACCGGTCCCCCCTAGGAAGGGCTCCTTGCTCCCCAAGGGGCTCGAGGGGATGCCCACCCCGCCACCCAATCTACCTCCCGGGCAGACGCTGCTGGAGAGT